CTGTAGTCACCTGCACTCAGACGTGCTCATGCTGACACTTAATAAAAAGATAATTGTTATTTTTTAAGATAAGGCCTCTGTGTATAGCTGAGGAGGACCTTGAATGCTTGATCCCCCTGCCTCTACCTCCTGAGTCCTGGGATACAAGTGTGTGCCACTACCCATGGTTGAAATTCACTTTTTTCCTCTTGAGATAGGGTCTCACTAGGTAGCCCTGGCTGTCTTGGAACTCACTATGTAGACTAGGCTGGCTTCTTCCTCCAGAGACCTGTCTGCCTCTGCCTCTCAAGTGCTAGGGTTAAAGGAAAAGGGTGGGTCATGATGTTGGCCCAAGATTCAGTGTTTTTTTTTTTTTTTTTTTGGTTTCTCTGTAGCTTTGGGGACTGTCCTGGAACTAACTTTTGTTAACCAGGCAGGTCTTGAACTTAAAAAGATCCTCCTGCTTCTGCCTCCCCAAGTTCTGGCATTAAAGGCATGTGTCACCACTGCTCAGCCAAAGATTTAATTCTTGATACAAACCTTTATACAAGTCTCTCAATTTTTTTATAGTATTCCATCAATGTGAAACTTCACTCCAAAAATGTAAAAACACTTTGAAACCGTTAAAAATTGTTATTAATTGTTATTATTACAATTATAAGTTTGTAACACAAATATAACTTAAAACTTTTCTGCTAATATAAGTGGTTTATCAATTCAGCTGAGCTTTCTTATATTAATCATTACTTCATAATAATTCCAAGGGTGGGTGTGGTAATTCATAATCAGAGCATGGATGCAGGAAGAGTCTGAGTTATAGACCTACTTGGGCCACATAGTGAGGGTTTTTCTCCAAACAAACAGAAAAAAACAGTGCCTCTTAAAATAATGATAAAGATTTGATCTATACACAGTACATGCCAGAGCCACACAGTGCGCTTGGCTGCTGCTAAAAGGCTAAAAGCTACACAGGAGCAGAAGTGGCTTATATGTGTGATCATGAGTGTTTGTTACAGTCTCATAGAGCCACCAGTCCCTCAATCCCAACTGGATGCATTTTAAGATGAATGCCAGCTCTTTGGGTTTCAGGAATATCAATCAATTTCTCCAGTAGTTCCCCTGAATTCCATTCTAGAGTGGGCAATCGTGGGCTCTCATCTGATTTCGATGGTTATGACTAATATGTACTTCCCTGGGGTTAGGGATGTAGGTCAGTTGGTAAAAGTTCTTGCCTAGCATTCATGAAATAGTGGGTTAGATCTATGATAACTACACCGCATAAACGGGTGTGGTGGCACTTGCATGAACTCCTGGTACTCAGGAGGTAGTGGAAAGAGGATCAGAAGTTCAAGATCATCCTCTGCTATATAGGCAGTTTGAGGTCAACCTGGGATACGTGAGACCTTGTCTCAGCAACAGCAACAACACCTTTCTCATATTCCACATAACTTGAGCCATTTTTTGTGTGCATGCACATTTGTGTGTATGTGTATGCTCGATTGTGCACATGTGAATGCATGAGTGTGTGTGTATGAATGCATGAGTGTGTGCGCGCGTGTGTGTGTGTGTATGTGTGTGTGTGTGTGTATGTGTTTGTGTAGGCCAACATCAGATGTCTTCCTCTGTTGCTGTCCACTTTATGTTTTTGAGCTTGGAGCTCACTGATGTGGTTAGACTGCTAATGAGTAAGCCCTAGGGACCCTCTTGTCTCTGCCTCCTGAACATTGAAGTAAGCATTGCTGCCATGCCAAATTTTATATGGCTGCTGGGGATTGAACTCAGGTCCTCATGCTTTTCAGTAAGCACTTTTCTGACCCAGCCCTCTCCCCAGCGTCCTCCACCATTGAATTCCAATGAGGTAGATGACCAGTGCACAGAAATGAACTGGACAAGATTGTTCACTAATGAAGATAATCTAAATATCTACAACTATGGAGTTGGTTGAATTAATTTTGATAAGAACCTCTAATTGAATACCAAGCAGTCACAAAGATGTCTAATACAGTATCTTTTGAGAAGGAAGAATACTTGAGTGAAAGATTACAGAAAAATAGCAACTAATTAATTCTGGGTGGAGAAGATAAAGATTTTTAGGTGATTTTAGCTAATTTAAACTCTCCTGTATCTGTTGCCCTGCTGTTGGTATTGGATGATTTTGATGGCCAGCAAGCGCATCTGCTCTTGTACAAAACCAAATTAAACAAATTAATGTGCTTTTGACAGGGGCTGCATCTTTGTTTTCGAAGGTGCTCACACAAATGGTTAAGGAATAACAGAAGATCCTGGTCGGGGTTGAAGAGAGCACATCTGACAATTAATAACTGAAAGCAGGTGGCAGACACACACAGGGGTTACTATTGAGATTCACATGTAATCAAAGAAGGGAAATTCAAGTAATGAAGCAACGTTTATGCTTTGTTTCCATGTTACAGTAAAATTTAATTATGTCAATAAATTCTTCTGTATTCCTGTGGCTGCTAAAGATGGAAGATTATGCTGCAGTCTGGAAGAGAACATTTAAACGAAGGAATTACAGGTTATAGTTCTTATGCTATGAATACTAACAGTCAGATGCAGTGTGATTGAGGGAAGAACAGGACTCAGTAGGAAAGATCTGGATTCCATCCACCTCTGCCTCTTAATGAACTCTGACCTTGGGTGAGTTGCTGAACCTCAATGAGCCTTGTTTTTTTTTTTAGTTCCAAGGTGTTCGGCTCTATGGTGCTATGTGTTACAAAGTACCAATCTGGAACTTTGGAATTACATATCTTGTAATTATCCAGTGAATACTTCTGGAGTGAATGAATGGCGATAACAACATGCCCTCTATAAAAGGATGCATAGAAAGAAAGATTGGAGGAAAATATGGATTAGTGATTGCATTAGAATAGAGAATGAGTGCTATAAAAATTTCCCATTTTTCTCTTGACTTCTAAATGATTATTCCTTCCTGTGGTCTCTACTTGGTGGTGTTATATTTGTGATAAACTATGCTCATACTTGATCCTTCTCTTCCTTTCTGGGATCCTGTTGTATATATTGCTTCACAAACTTTGACACTTGACATAGCTGTATCAGTGTAAAAATTTGAGATTCGACAATGCTCTCCCTTTTATAGCTCCTCACTTGTGTTGCACCACTGAGATGTGTCTCTGGTTGCCTCCTCCTTTTATTCACTGAAATACTTGCAAGCCAGTCTCACCCCTCACCCTGGTCAAATCTGTCAGCACAGATTTCCTCCACAGATTCATGTATTTGAAGGCTTGGCCTATAGGGAGTGGCACTAGTAGGAGGTGTGGCCTTGTGGGAGGAAGCGTGTCGCTGTGGAGGCGGGCTTTGTGGTCTTACGTGCTCAAGCTAGGCCTAGTGTGACAGACTGCTTGCTGCCTGTGGATCAGATGTAGCACTCTCAGCTCCTTCTCCAGCACCACGTCTGCCTGCACGCTGCCGTGCTTCTCACCACGATGATGATGGACTGAACCCCTGAAACTGTAAGCCAGCCCCAATTAAGTGTTTTCCTTCATAAGGGTTGCTGTTGTCATGGTGTCTCTTCACACCATTGACCATATTTGAAAGAGACACTGAAGCAGCTTCTGCACTGCTCTCTGTGACCACCTTTCCCTTTCAAGTGTCTTCTCAACACAGTGACAAAGGTGAAAAGAAGATCAGGTCACTGTTGTGTCTAGAACCTTCCAGTGGTTTCTCGTTGTATTCAGAGGAAAGTTAAATCCTTAAAGGATTCAGCTCTCCACCCAACAGCTCACAACCATCTGATGTTTATGTTGCCATTCTGAACTTTCTGTTCCCTCTGTCTGAAAACTTTCTGAAGATATTTACAGATGGACTCTCCTGTCTGGCAGCTGTGTCCCTGTCACTTTGTCACTAAGGTGGGCATTCTCAATGGGACTCTTCACATATCTTACTCTTTTCTTTTTCTATGTTTAAGGTCATGCAACCTACTGTATATGTCAGCAAATATGTAGACATTTATATATATTTCCAATAAAAATAGCTGTGAGGAAGAACTTTTGTCTGTTTTTGCTTCTCGCTATGACCTTGTTAGTGTCTGGAATGTAGTGCATTCTCAGTAATGTTTATTGACTGCTTCACTATTTCGTGTAAGTGAGCTTTACCCCACTCTTGTTTAAAGGTCTTTGAAGAATGCACAGGTGGGTTTATATGCCTCTCCCCCACCTTCAACCCTCCTCAAGAATAGACAAGGGTGATGAACAGGCCTAATATACTTTTTGTGTTTGTTGTCTTAAGTTAACTTTTCTTGTTGAGCTAGGCTGGCACCCAAACTACACTAGATAGAGGACAGGCTTATATATTATTTCAGATCAAAATTAGGTATTGCAGAGATTGCTCAGTAGGAAGATGTCTCAGGGACTATAATTGAAAGAGGTGTTAGAAACAGAGGGCCTGGGTTTGAATCCTTAGCAAACATATAATGGGGCAAGCAGGGCACATCTGTAACCCCAGCAGTGCAGAGGCAGAGATGGGCGGGTTCTGGGGCGTGGCTAGCTAGCCCATCTGAAATAGCTCCACATTTGGCATGGGCATGAAGCACACACATCATGCCACACCACACACAAGAAGTAAGTTTACTGTTATACCTCAGGAAAAAAAAAATGTTTGGAGTCATCACTTACCCAACATGAGGGACTGTACCAGAACAGCTCCTTAGCATTCTTGAACTTGCTTTTGTCAGCTCTGTTCTTTGGCATTTCCAGAAGGAGTTAACAGGGCATATGAGTTATAAAGGAGACCAGGAATGACTCTTTCAGGTTCTTCCTTATTTTTCTTTCTACTTTAGCCAGGCATGATGATGGCATATGCCTGAGTCTCAGCATCGAGGAAATTGAAAGACAGCTTGGTCTACGTATTGTGATAGTCTCGAAACAGACAGACGGATGGTCAGACAAAACAAAGAAAACTCCCAAAAGATTTCTAGTTAGGTTACTGAAATTCTTGTTTTGAATGAATAATTAAAGAAATTTTGTTTGCTTTGTATTTTGCAGAGGCAATAGTGGCAGAATTTCATAAGAAGATCAAAGACGCTTTTGAAGTGTTTGACCATGAAACAAATAACACAGTGGATGTGAGGTTTGGAAACATTTATTGTTGTTATAATTTTAAATTATGGATACAATTCATAGATAGAAGGGGGATGGTTTCTCCTTTTTTAAAACTGTATTTTCAGTTTACTGTGCTGTTTTAAAGTATTTATTTTCTTGTTGCTCTGTTTTTTTGCTAACTACCACTTCAAGGTAAATTCTTTTTCCTATTTTTTTTTTTTTTTTGTCTAGTGGGTGGACTATATTATTATTGTCCATCCCAATCTCCAGACTGTGAACCAAGTAAGATGAACTTCATTATAGCTTTAGTGACGGCACATGTTGGTCCTTAATAAACCTCTGTCTAGTGAACGAATGGAATTTGCATTTTAAAATGTACAAATAATGGGCTAGGGCGATGGCTTAGTCTGTCAGAGTGCTTGCTGTGCAAGCATGAGATCTGGATCCATAGTGCTGATGGCAAAGCTAGGTGTGGCTACAGGTTCAGGGAGAGACTGTCTCAAGGGAATAAAGACATCATAGGAGAGGCATGCACCTGACTCATCTCCTGGCCTCTGAATGTGCGTGTGCATGCTTGCACACACACACACACACACACACACACACACACACACACACACACACTAACTACACATTCTAGAGCAGAGGTTCTCAACCTTCCTTATGCTGGGACCCTTTAATACAGTTCCTCATGTTGTGGTGACCCACCCATAAAATTCTTTTTGTTGCTACTTCATAACCATAATTTTGCTACTGTTATGAATCATAACGTAAATATCTGTGTTTTCTGATGGTCTTAGACAACCCCTGTGAAAGGGTCATTTGACCCCAAAGGGATCATGACCCACAGGTTGAGAAACTGCTGTACTGTAGTGTACACACACACACACATTTAAAAAAGATTATAAAAAGTGCACCGATATGTAATATCAAGGCACCATTACAAAGAATAATAATGTTTACAGAATGATATACTCCCCAAGTAAAATAAAAAATGGGCTAAACAGAGCATGAAAAATGGAAAAATGTGATGAATATATGTAGATTTGGAGTAGAGTACAGGTGTGGTGGTATGCTCCTGTAATTGTAGGAGCTAGAGTCAGGAGGATTAGGAGTTTGAAGCCAGCCTGGGCTGGGTAGGGAGACTCTATCTTAGGGGGTGAAAGTAGAGGAAATCACACAGGACTGTAATAGAAGTTGTAGGATCTGTGTCACATACAGCAAGGGACAGTCATGAATCCATTCTTCCAGGAGGCCAGGCCAAGTGACAGTTACTTGATGAGTTCATAGGCTAAGAGCTTCTACTACTAAGACCAGCAAAGCAGTGGAGAGTGATCTAAAGTGGTACAACAAGGGACTGCTTATAAAGCAGGACCGCCATCACTTCCTGTGCCAGCCAGGGCCCCAAGTGCTTCCGACTTCAGCCAAACTGAAGAACAGTATGAGGCTTTATTTGTAAATTGTAACTATGTGCATTATTTAGTTTCTCATACCTGAGGGCCTGAGATTAGCAAGTATGAGCAGCTTCACGTCTTTATATTAACACTTACAAAGTTTTGTTTTGTACTCTAGATTTATGTGTAAGGCAGTTGGGGTAGACAAGGTGGAAGACAGTTAAATTTGTCCCCTTAGCACCTCACTTGTAGTGGGCTCTGCTAGTTACTAGCCTTGCTCAAACAAAATAGCTGACTGAGGCAACTCAAGGAAAGGAAGGTTTAGTTGGCCCCCAGTTTGAAAGTACAGCCTGTCATGGCAGGGGTGTCATGGTAGCATGAACTTGAGGTAGGTGGTCGCATTACGTCCACAGTCAGGAAGCAGAGAGAGACATTTGAAGTTTAGATCACTCTCTCCTTTTTGTTTAGTCCTGGAACCCAGGCTACAGAATGGTGCTACCCACAGTTAAGGGGATTGTTCACCTCCATTAACTGTCACAGGCATGCCCAGATGCTGACCTAACCTTACCTCATAGGCACGCTCAGAGGCTTGTCTCTTAATTGAGTCTAAATCCTGTCAAGATGGTAATTGAGGTTAACCGCCATGGGCAGTGTGAGTCTGGGTTCAGCCATGGCAGTGGAAGTGTGACAGGAACTTAAGGGTAGCATGGCTGCACGGTGCAGCTCCCAGAAGCTCTGGTCACATCTCATTCTATGAGAAGGAAGGGCTCTACAAAGAGTACTGAGCCTCGTCTGTGTGTCCTTGCAGGAAAACCAGCAGGGAGGGATGGTGCTGGTTACAGGGCTTGCTGAGTAGCATGGGGTGTGCAGCAATACCTTGTAATTAGATGAACTAGATACATGATGGACAACCTCTAACCTCTCCTTGACCTGAATGATTCTGCTCCTGGGCCAGGGGAGAAAGTATTGTTAGAAGTCAGGGAAAGTATAGCTTTAGATGTGTCTGTTTGACTGTGATCTCTGGGGATAGATTCCACACCTTATACATGCCAGGCAAGAATTGTACTGCATTCCAGCCCTACCTAGCTTTGTGAGAGAAAGAGGAAAAGAGAGAAAGTATCTGCAGTCCAGCTGATAGTCTGGCCATCCTGTACTTGACATCTAGGAGCTTTGTATCCATCACCTCATTGTAATGTTTTTATTTGTGTGAGAGGAGTGGCACCTCTGGCTTTGGAGACAAGTGACAAGTATATGCTTGGCTTAGTGTCACATCGGAGCTTTTCTAATTCCAAGTCCCAGACTGTGCTTGGGAGCATGGCCTCCTGCCCTCATTCTCCCAGTGCAGCCCTTCATGGATTCCTGTGTCTTGCCTTTCATTTTCTTGACAGTAATAGTGAAAGGCAAATTTCCAGTATCCCATTAGGGCAGAGATTCCAGCCAGGCCTTTCTTGGTAAAAGGGCCAATTCAGGAAAAATTGTGAAAAATAATACCGGAGGCTGGAAAGATAGCTAAGTTGTTAAGAGCACTTGCTGCTCTTACAGAGTCCTGGGTTCAATTCCAAGCACCCTCATGAGGGAGAGGCTCACAATTGCTTGTGACTTACAGGGACTGTGACACCTTCTCCTAGTCTCTTGGGGGACCCACACACATTTGAATATGCATGGTGTACAATGATGTATATACACTCAGCTACAGCCACAACACTGAACAAAAAAAAAAAAAAAAAAAAAAAAAAACAAACTTTAAAACTATACCTAATTCTACCTTTGCCTTATTAATGCAAATGGTTTTGACTTCTCAGGCACATGCAGTGTCTTGGAGATGTACAGGGATGTTTGGAAACCAGCTGGAGAATTCCTATACTACCAGTCCTTGAGGCAAGAGTGAAAGCAGGGCCACAGAGGACATAAGCTCCTCGGCATCAGGAATTGGGGGCAGGGACCAGAAAGTGTGTTTGTTCCCAGGTCCAAGGAAGCAGAGGGGACACTTCAGCATGTCTCAGAGAGAAGCAAGCACCCTACTGCTTGCTTGGCACTCACAAGACCCAGCCTCTTTTCTATCTGTTAGGATAAAACTTCAAATGCAATCTTTCAATTTGTGCATAGCAGAGAAAAGGGAAAAGGAAAGAAGCCACCAATAAACTGCTCAAGGCAGCCTCGGTTTACAGTGAGGGAAGCAATTCCACACTTGCCCTGAGGCAGTCAATGTTCTGGCCTCCACTTAGAGACAGCTCACCTCCCGCCCAGTGCAGGCCATGTGCATCCCTCTGGAGCTCTTACTACACACACATAAACACTTTTTGGGGTTTTGAGAGGTATTTTTTTTTAAAAAAACTTCTTACTCTGTTGCCTGGGTTGGCCTTGAACTTGTGGTTATCCTCTTGCCTCAGCCTCCCAACTGCTGAGATTGTGGGCATGAGTTGGCATATCTGACTCAAAGACTACACCATTCAGCCTACATAGGATACTGCCTTCAATCCTTCAATGTCTGAGGAGTAATAAACTCTTTATGTGATGTTAAAACATTTTATAAATTGATAGCTCTTAATGGAGTATTGAATTTATTGAAGATAATGCAATAGATCATAATTCAGTTGAAACTAGATCCAATTGTATAAAAAGTAGCATGCTATACAGTAGGCCTAACAATCCAAACAGCAAATATAAACTGTTTAGTAAGTTAAAAATAAACATCTAGGGGCTGGAGAGATGGCTCAATGGTTAAGAGCATGGACTGCTCTTCCAGAGGACCAAGGTTCAGTTCCCAACACCCACATACAGTTCACAATTGTCAGTAATTCCAGGTCCAGGGCTTCTGGCAAAACAACAATGGACAAAAACAAAATAAAACAAAACAAAACAAACAAACAACAACAAAATAACAAAAGCCAAAACCAAAAGATAAACTTCTATTTAGACTCTCACTTTTAACCATAAGCCATGATAAATTCCAAACAAAGCAACTGCTTTTATAAATGGGGAGAGTTGACTCTGTACATCACAGCATTCCCAGTGCCTCCCCTGGGGCTGGTATGCAGCCACCTTGGAAAATGCTGCTGAACAGAAAAAAACAAAACAAAATGAACTTGATTTCCAACTCTGATGATCACTGTTGTGCAGCCCTGGGCAAGTGTTTCTCTGTCTCTGTCCTTCACATCCAATTTGTAAAGGGTGATTCAAAATGACACCAGAAACATGAGAATAAAGTTCTGTACAAACCAGTATAAGGAGTCCAACACAGTAGCATGTACTACTGGAAATCCAGCTCTTGGAGGCTAAGGAAGAGGACTGCTATGAGTTTGAGGTTAGCCTGAGCTACACAGTTACTTGAAGGCCAGCCTACACTACAGAGTAAGACTCTGTCTCAAAATGAAAACAAAACATAACAATAGCATAAGTTCTCAAGATTAGAAAGCTGCAGTCGTCCACATTACTATTCTTCAAATATGCTTAGCATTAATATTTTAGTGCTAAGAACAATGCCAATTTTTTTTAGTAACCATCTTTATTTAATAAAGTAGACTAAATTATAAGAGCATACACTTTCCCTTGGGGACCTCAGTAAAATTGTTTTACTTTGGGATGGGGAAAAGTTGCAGGCCATAGTGGGACCTTGTTTCAAAAAAAAAAGTCA